CGTGCAAAATTATTCCCTAACCATTCCAAAATATCAAAATAGCACAACGTTAGTATTCAAGTTTTCACTTCTGCCGGCACTCCCGGCGTGCAACCCATCGTTTTTCATAGCCAGGTAGGCAAATGACTCTACCCCACCTGATGTTAAGTAGTGATAAAGTCCAAACGCGAAGATAGCTGGTATTGTAGTTATAAACTGCCACACCAACCATCCTCACTTTGACGGCCTGCAAAAATGCTTCTTCACGCCTCTCTTAAAGGATATATATATCTCTTATACATACATGTTACTTATATAATATTCAAACAAATACATACGGCACTCGCCACTCAATAATCTACCGCTCAAATTGTGGTACACGAACACAATTCGCTTTAGTAGCAATTTGACATCCAAACACGCTGCACGTGCACTCAATATAATAATATTGTGTATATTCAGTGTTGTAAAGATATAACAATACCTTTGATGCATTTAAAAAGAACACAAATAGTTCGATTATATAAAAAAATCCACGGCAACACTTTTCATTTGTGAAACTATAAAACATTTTTTCTCAAAAATCATGGTTTGTAATGAATGTTATTTACTTACTCGCTATTTCTTATCGAGAAAAGGGCAACCAAGGACCAAATGTGATTCCGGCATAAGGAACAGACATACATGATCTCATCATCATCAATTAATGTCCCACTAGGGCACAGGCTTTCCCTTACCTAACTACATCTCAAATACGCGAATGATGGTATGGTTTAAAACATTTTAAATAATATTTTCAACACAGTTGCGCGAATGTTCAAAATTATGGTCCATACAACTGAGCGTGCGGTAAAACATTTTACTGCACGCTCCCATACATGACGAAGTGTGTATCCTTTACGCTTTTGATCTATACCTTAGTCTCACTTTAATACTCAAAAGAAATTGCACAATTTGAATATACGCGTCATTTTTCAAAAAAGTTTTACTTTATTACTTAATAATTAAACTGTTTTCTCGCAAATGACAATCATGCGGAATTGGTATTTATTTACACACTAGTGACTATGATAAACCCCCGACTTCGTCTCGGGCTTACATTCATCAGTCTCTGAATGTCCCCACTGTTGCGGCACAGGCCTTCCCTATGGATGGAATAGGGAGATTGGGCTACGACCCACAACGCGGGCCCAGTGCGGATTGGCGGGTGCTAACGACTGCAGATGCAGCCGGGATCGACGGCTTAACGTGCCTTCCGATGCACGGAGGAGCTCGAGATAGAAGTTTCTTGGTCACCCATCCAATGACCGACCACTGCGAAAGTTGCTTAACTTCAACGATAGCAGTCGAACGCGCTAACTATGTACTTGCGCCAACGAGCTCCTCATAACTAACTTACGCCCTCATATCATAAATGACTATTTATTAAAATCAACATTTCTACCGATCTGTTTAATACAAGATGTAAGTGGTTCCCTCGGTAACTGGTGGCAATTTTCATACTTGTTTATTGCGAGATATGCTTTCCAAGCACCGGACCGGTTCAATTAACATGACCAGCTCTGATGTAACATATAGTACATATATGTATGTATGTGCACCAACGAGCGATAGAAAAGTTTACTGTTGATCTAAATCATTAAATAAATTTATTTGAATTGAGTTGCTATGTGAATGAATTTTGAATGGAACATTTCTTTGATTGTTATTATTACTTGCTTATTTAATTCTTGTTTTGATTAAACCTAAATGTATTTTATAATTAATTTTAAATTATATTTGTTAATAATTAATTTTTCTAATAAAATCATCTTAAATTGTTATCCTATTGTAATTTTATCAAATTTTAAATTAATCTATATATATAAAACTCAAAGGTGACTGACTGACATAGTGATCTATCAACGCACAGCCCAAACCACTGGACGGATCGGACTGAAATTTGGCATGCAGGTAGATGTTATGACGTAGGCATCCGCTAAGAAAGGATTCTGATCAGTTCTACCCCCAAGGGGATAAAATAGGGAATGAAAGTTTGTATGAAACTTTGTCAATTTTAAACCGATCGGGCTGAGACTTTGCATGCAGGTATAAGAAGAAAGGGCGGGCCGTTAGTATTTGTACATTTTTATTATAACTAGCTGACCCGGCGAACTTCGTACCGCCTTAGCGTTGCTTTGATACACTACTTTATTTTTTTTTTCTTTATTTTTTTTCCCTAAGAACCTTGTACAGAGTATTAGAAAACTGCAAAAAAAAAATCAGCCAAATCGGTCAAGCCGTTTTCATGTTATGTCGTGACAACGGAAAACGGGTTTCATTTTTATATATATAGATTTGCAATGCCCTTGCAGGAGTCATATTTGCGAGCTGTTATTAGATTTAAGAACTAAATGTAACCAACATGAAGCAATAAATATTATGACTATGTCTACCCTGATCCAATCCCATACCGCGTGGAGCCCTGAATCCTTATCTAGTCACCATCAGAAACTCAACACCACCAAAAGATAGTGTGTTCTTCTGTAAATTGGAGATTAGTTCCCCAGGCGGGGGCTCCAATTCAAACGGAAAATGCTTTATGCCCTACCTCTCTTATGGGGCATAGGTTTCAATGTGGTCTACCGTTTTTCGTCCCACCAGATAGATAGATAAAACTTTATTCGCACCAACATGCACACATACAAAATTGAAGACTAATTTTACAACAGGGTATTTGACAAGTTTTAGAAAACCGATCTCACGTTATTGACTAATGTTTATAGAGTCCTTAAAAAGTGGATATTCATCATTATGTTGTGTATTTCGGTAAAAAAAAACCAAATCAAAAACACTATTTTCAAGTTGCCGCGAAAAACGTATCTCTGGACAATATGGCGTCTCACTGGTGTGTGACGTCACATGACTGTCATTAAAACGTCAAACCATACAATCAAATGTCACTTTGACCGGAAGTTTACTTGCGTGTGACGTCATTTCAGGCTCCACCAATCCCAAGCGTTTTGTTCACGTGACAATAGACAAGAAAACTATTATCTTTATCGTGGGTTTTTTTGGTAAAATTGTGAATATTTTTTTTGTAAAAATAGTAAAAACTGCTGCCAATATTCATTCTAAACACAGATGCTAACAATTGGCACTTTATTTTTTAATACTGTCGAATACCCTATTAAATAAATCCTTCAAAACATGCAACAAGTTATATTTATACGACTATACTATAATATTGTCGTGTGCAGCAGCGATGCGAATGGGCGAAAACTCAGCGTAACATTTAATCAGAGAGTAAATCGCTGATTTTCGTTTTCACCAGATGGCGCTACTGTTGAATGGGAGCCTGATTAGTAACTTTTAAAGTTTATTAATACGCGCGTGAAATCATATTTTAATACAAAAGAACCGTATCCTGAACATAATCGGCCATGTTACTGTATTGCGGAGTTCTGTTTTGTTCGGAAAAAAGTTTTAGAGGACATAATGATTTTTCTTAGCTCCGCTTTTAAATACCTGACATTCGTTGACACGTAACTCATATTTGCCATAATTGAGCCGAGTTATTACCAAATATTCACAACATTATTTTAATTAGAAATAAACCCGCGTAGTCAACCCACAATAAATAACTTTTGACATTTGGGAGACCTTATTAAAAATTGGGTGCATTTAGATTTAATGCCCTGCCAGCAGAGTTTAAGTAACTGCCAATAACAATGATTTTATTTATTTTTTAAGCATTTAACTGCTAGATGTTTAAATCTAAAGAAAAGTTTACTAGAAAAAAAGGCTACGAAAATTTCGACGCGGCTAATAGGGCCGTGGTAGCATAATGGTCGGTGCATTCGCCCGGATAGCGAAGGGTGCGGGTTCGAGTCCCGTCCGCTGCCTGGTCAGCGTGGTTTTTTTTCTAGTAAACTTTTCTTTGCCAATAACAATGTTTCGTAGGTCAGTTAAGATATGGTTACAAGAAAAATGTTTTTATTCTGTCAACAATTACTTAGGTTTAAAAAATTAAAAATATAAATCAAATCAGCCTATTAATATCCCCACTGCTGGGGCACAGGCCTTCCCTATGGATGGAATAGGGAGATTGGGCCATGACCCGCCACGCGGCCCCAATGCGGATTGGCGGGTGCTAACGACTGCAGATGCAGCCGGGACCAACGGCTTAACGTGCCTTCCGAAGCACGGAGGAGCCGAGATAGTAAATTTTTGGTCACCCCTCCAATGACCGACCACTGCGAAAGTTGCTTAACTTCAATGATCGCAGCCGAACGCGCTATCCATCCGCGCCATCGAGCTCCTCCAAAAATATAAATACAAAATAAAAACTGGGACATATAAATAGTACTTAAGGACTTGTTTTTACTGAATTAATTTTATTTGTCATTTCCATGCCAAATTGGCGAAACATGAATGGATATTTATGAATAAAAAATCTGTATTGTATTTATTGTATTTTGACGACCTCCGTGGCCGAGTGGTTTGTACGCCGGGTTTCAAGGTGTCGCCGACTCGAGAGGTCCCGGGTTCGAGTCTCGGTGGGGGCAGATGTTTGTGTGATGAATACGAGCATTTGTGCTCCAGTCATGGATGTTTAATATGTATTTCTATATAAATATACTTATATATGTACTGTATATGTATTCTATCCGTTACCCTAGTATCCCATAACACAAGCCTTACAGTGCTTACTTTGGGACTAGGCTAATTGGTGTGAGCGTTGGTAATATTTATTTATTTATTATTTAACCATGTTTCTTGTACATAAATGATTTTGATTTGTTAACCTTGATAAAATTCGTGTGTGTTTACTGGGCGGACTTAACCTACTGCTTCTTGTATACTGTGGCAGCCTCCCTCTTTGATATTGGCAAAGCCTAAACTCTGGAACCGCAACTCGCAACACCTGACCATAGTTCACTCAAACGTACTAAACCACTGGTTGTGTGAAGGCATTGAAAATTAAGATATATATGTGTGAATTCAAATTGTACATACCTAATTGAATTTGTTTTGTGAAAATGCAGCAATTACCTTTGGCGTGTTTTTTATCACTGATACGTGAGTAAAATATTAATATATACATATATATACACTAGCTGACCCAGTGAACTTCGTACCGCCATAAAAATAGGGGCAGGTGGTAGAAAAGAAAAGGAGATTGCTCAAATTGGCCCAAATGCACAAAAAATATTGACATATACGGTAATTCTTGGAGTAATTTATACTTTATTTTACAGTCATTAGATTTTAACAGACACCTTTGTATAATATATTCATTTTAAAAAGGACTTTTAATTTTACCGGTTTGGAAAACATACGAATCATTTTTAATGGCTATGGGTGTAGTAACATTCAGCCAAAGACTGATCGAAGTTGTTTATATATCAAAACAAATCTATTTTGTAAAGATCGAAAAAATGAAACTTTTTTTTATTACACTGTGGTATTAATACCCACAACTATATTATCATTTTTACTACATGCAAATGTGCTAAGACAATTATTATAGATGTAGGCGACATCATAAAGACTATTGCCATACATTTTTCGCCAAACACCTTCATAAATACAATATAAGATGTGATACACTAAAAATCTAAAATATGGTTATTAATATGGGTATCTGTTAATCTACCTGCACTATATACCTGAATTTAATACATAATTATGGTACTTGGTTTGATTTCCCTAGTTTTCTATATAACTTATGTTTTTTATTATTTTAATACCTATTTATCTATTTGCAAACATAACCTCAAAATCATTCAGTGTACATGGTTTATAGAAGTTCTCAGGGGTGTCCGTCAATAATATTCGTTTCTACAGTAATTTATATATAATTTCGAATCTAGGAAACAATTTTTCATGATTATTGGTCTTTAAACCAAACATGTATGGAAGCTGAGCGATCTCCTTTAGGGTTGTATGTATTTTTTAAAACCACATTAATATAAAATTTTAGGGGCGTGTAACGTAGTGTTCTATCAATTTCCTGGGATAACATTCCTCCTAACCCATATGAGAACACTACGTTACTATACCCAATAGTTTGAATTTTGGCGCGAAGGCGGATTGTAGGTTTCAGAACACTACGTTACAGGTGGACAACCATCATGCATATAAAATTTTATAAAAATCGGTCAAGCCGTTTCGGAGGAGTATGGTAACTAACATTGTGACACGAGAATTTTATATATCTATATATTATATAAAACTCAAAGGTGACTGACTGACATAGTGATCTATCAATGCACAGCCCAAACCACTGGACGGATCGGGCTGAAATTTGGCATGCAGGTAGATGTTGTGACGTAGGCATCCGCTAAGAAAAGATTTTGATCAATTCTACCCCGAAGCGAAGCGAGGGCGGGCCACTAGTAAGATATATAAATTATGCTTCACGTTGCCTGTCCGGGATGGACTCCTAAGCTACTTAACCAATTTTAATAAAATTTGCACACCGTGTGCAGTTTGATCCAACTTGAAAGATAGGATAGCTTACATCTCAATTTACAGGCGCAATATTATTTAATTGCAAATTATTACTTTTGGACGGTACGAAGTTCGCCGAGTCAGCTAGTATTGTTATATTTATTTAATACTATTTAATTAGAGGCTAAATTTTAGGCGATTGAACTAATTGGACCTGATTGAAGATTTTGACAAAGAGTTATAATAGGGTTTTCTTTAAAAATTGTGTCTGTGTAGTGTAGGTGTGTGCATTGCCGTCTTTGACTTATTGGAGGCCCTGGGCATATTAGGATAATGGGGGCCCCTATGACTTCCGTTTGGTGATTTAACAGGAACTAGGGACTTTGTGTTTGATCTGAGGGGGCCCCCTATCGATCGCGGGGCCCTGAGCACTTGCCCAAAGTGCCCACTGTGAAAGACGGGTCTGGGTGTGTGTCAACCGCATAGTTATGTTATTACCGCTTATACGTAAAAAAACCTATGACAAAGACTTAAACTACGCATTCTGTACACCCAAACAAGTCATATTACAAAATATTATAGTGGGAAAATTTTGTATTTTTAAGTTAAAAAAAATACATTTTCTTTCCGGTACGCAATGTACAGCGCGGCGCGCTACTGTGGCGCTACGCAAACAATGTGCCTGTGTGTATGTGTGTGTAAGTGCTTCGATAAAAAAGTTTCTAAATAACGTTTTGAAAATATTAATGTATAAATCTTGAAAAAAATATTTTGGCTTTGATCTTCAATATCTCCATAACCATAAATTTGCCAGGTATGGTCCAGAAGACAAAAATGATCGTCATGATGTGGAAAATACGTGGCCTTCGACTTCGTTATAGGTTTTATTTACACCCTGTATATAGTACTTTTTTTATAAGAAGCGTAGCAATAATTCCCCATCCCACTTAAGTGTAAGTGGATAGATGGAACTCTTCTCAGCAAAAACACAACACTACCAAAAGTAGTGTAATATTTATGATTTTATTTATTTTTTAAGCAGTTAACTGCTAGATGTTTAAATCTAAAGAAAAGTTGACTAGAAAAAATCCACGCGGACCAGGCAGCGGACGGGACTCGAATCCGCATCCTTCGCTATCCGGGCGAATGCACTGACCATTATGCTACCACGGCCCTATTAGCCGCGTCGTCCGCTGCCTGGTCCGCGTGGATATTTTTCTAGTAAACTTTTCTTTAGTGTAATATTACTGTGATCATCTGTACGGTGAACGCTTCCCCAGACGGGCGCTCCAATTCATATATTCATTCATTTCATTCATTCATACATAGATCAATGCGAGAAATAAAAGCTAACTTCATCATCAGCCTATGCACCGTTAGCACCCGCCAATCCGCACTGGACCCGCGTGGTGGGTCATGGCCCAATCTCCCTATTCCATCCATAGGGAAGGCCTGTGCCCCAGCAGTGGGGACACTAATAGGCTGATGATGATGATGATGATGAACCTACAGAATGTTAAATATCCATGGACTCCATAAACGTTAGAAAATAACATGAGATCGTTTTCTAAACCTTGTCAAATACCCTATTACGTAAGCCTGTCGCCGTATGGTGCGCGCGCGCAACCGGTGCCGGGTGATTCAAGTATTCCGAGTCGAGCAGGATATTATGCGGCGGCTGTATGGTTATGTATCGGGCAAAGGTTATGCGCATACCTAGGGCTGATATTTTCAACGTTTAAGATTGCATTTTTAAAAGGGGAGGGCGGGCGATGTTTTTGAAGTGAAACTTCTTTATCGGCGTTGGAAAAAAATTTACCGTCACATTTTTCGGTTACGCGTCACATTTTTCCGTTACGCGCCATCTTTTTTTATATTAATAGTTGATAGCTGAATGATCACACTGTCGCCGGCGAGAACTCTCTCTACTCGTTTGTAGCTGAGTGACAATAGTTATTAAAGATAAGACTCGCTCAGCCAAACTCGCATAGCGATACTCGCTCAGCGATACTCGCGCAGCGATACTCGCTCAGCGATACTCGCTCAGCGATACTCGCTCAGCGATACTCGCTCAGCGATACTCGCTCAGCGATACTCGCTCAGCTATACTCGCTCGGTTAAGCTGGCTTGGCTGTCAAAAGCCGTGCGCGTGCATTTTAACTCAGGACTGCCAATTCCTTTCTAGTTTCTACTCGCTTATCGTTCATCGTCGGAGGTGGAACATGTGCCTTAGATTACTGAGCCGTGTAATCATAACAGTGTTTCATAGGCAGTAATTTGTATTCATGTCTATGATAATAAAATCCTTTTGTTTAAACTTTATCCAATTTAACTTTATTTAACCAATTTCTGGAAAGTTGCATGTAGATCATTTTTCGAAAAATAAGGCCATAAAGAAGTTTCACTTCTTACGTGTGTACACTAGTACACGCACACATTTTTTTCCAGACAAACATACTCGCATAATCAGTACTCAGTAATTTTTATTAATATCTTTGTCATGAACAAATGCTGTTATCTGATCTGCTTCGCTATCCTGTAACAATTTATTACTGTATCATCTTAAGGAACCTATTGAAAGGGTCTGAATCCCTAAACACAGGCTATACTTATAGCCTATCTAGGGTCAGTTGTACTTTTTCATTTTATGACTACTGCACTGCATGTAAAAAAATAAAATAAAAATAAATTCCAGTACTTTGTCTAGTAAATTTAACAGTTGTAAAATGTTTGTACCTTATATGTTTTTTTTTTTGCATGAATAAAAATTATTATTATTATAATATTCATACAAATATACGATTTTCGCAATTTTTCCTTTATCCGTACTATAAGACGTTACTTCGTACCAAATTTCAAGATTCAAAGTTCACGGGAAGTACCCTGTAGGTTTTGATTCCAGTGCGAGTTTCGAAAATTTGCGGCATAAACGGCTGTATCTTTTGATTGGTTTGGCTTAGAAGTTTGATTTTTTCACAGCTCCAAGGGACAGTAGACCTGAGTATTAGATATGAATTTCAGTTTGATACCTCCACGCGGTCCTGAGAAAAACGGCCATGACGGACGGACGGACAAAATGATCCTATAAGGGATCAGTTTTTTCCTTTTGAGGTACGGAACCCTAAATAAGATGAGCGATTATTCGATAATTTCCACCTTTTCCATTAACCAACCTCATTTATCATAGACGCCCTCTGTGGCCACGTGATTTGTATTTGGGTTCGAATCCTGGGGGGGGCAGAATGGAGATGTTTGTGTGATGAATACGAGCATTTGTACAGTCATGGACGTTTAATATGTATTTCTATATAAATCTAATATATAAAATTCTCGTGTCGCGGTGTTTGTGGTTAAACTCCTCCGAAACGGCTTTCCCGATTCTCATGAAATTTTGTGTGCACATTGGATAGGTCTGAGAATCGGACAACATCTATTTAAGGGTAATCCACCCCTAAGTTTTTTTTTCAATTATAGATATTGTTTTTTTAATTTTTTTATGATACATCATACAAAAATACATACTACCCTAAATTTTCACCTTTCTACGACCAACCCTTATTTTTTTATGGCGGTACGAAGTTCGCTCTGTCAGCTAGTATATTTACATATGTACAGTATATGTATTCGATCCGATACACTAGCATCCCATAACACAAGCCTTACAGTGCTTACTTTGGTGCTAGGCTAATTGGTGTGAGTGTTGGAAATATTTATTTATAGTCTCTGGAATGCAGTCCTCGACCTATAAGCGACTGCGTTACATAAACAAATGGATTTTTATTACGAAATTGTTTTTCTCGGACCAATTAGCCGGTACTCGGAGCGTGTCGGGCGCCTATACTGTTGCAATGCAACACTGTCTTTCGTACTTCGCGCATGAAACCGGACCGGTTGTAAGAGAAAATTGGCTTGCGCTACGGGGTGGCAGAGCGAGGAAGGTGTGTCAGAAGAAAAATATTAGCACTTCCAATTTTATTTTTTTATGTTAAAAGTCACCATTTAGAAAAAAAATCTAATTATTCAGGACCTAAAATTGGAATTCTGCACAAGAATGTAAACATGCCACAAGTGCTACTTGACAGTATTAAATATAATGTACCAATTGTTGGAATCTGTATTAAACATGAATATTAACAGCGATTATACTACAATTTTTATTATTTTTGAAGAATGTAACTGCTTGATGTTTAAATCTTAAGAAAATATCTAGAAAAAACGGACCAGGCAGCAGACGGGACTCGAACCCGCACCCTTCGCAATCCGGGCGAATGCACTGACCAATTATGCTACCGCGGCCCTCACGGACTGCGTCGAAATTCTTCTAGCCATTATTAAGCTGCCAGGCAGCGCCATCTGAAGAGATGCGAAGGCATTTGCTATTTCTTCTTTCAAATGTTTAATACTTGTAAAAGTATTCATTTGACATTGTGAGTTACCTAGAATGCGAAGAGATGGCGCTGCCTTGCAGCTTAAGAATGTCTAGAAGAATTTCGATAATTGGTCAGTGCATTCGTCCGGATTGCGAAGGGTGCGGGTTCGAGTCCCGTCTGCTGCCTGGTCCGCTTGGAATTTTTTCTAGTTATATTTTCTTTAGATTTAAGCGATTATACTATTCTAAAACAACAAATAATTAATAACTTTTCTGTAAAATTATTAAATAGAAACGATTTTTTTGCTCCACGGTCACGTGACCGGAAACGCCTGGGATTGGCCAAGACCAAAATGACATCACACGCAAGTAAACTTCCGGTCAAAGTGACATTACATTGTATCGTTTGACGTTTTAATGACAGTTGTGTGACGTCACATGGCAGCGCCATCTCTTTGCATTGTAAGTAGCCCGCAATGGAATTTTTTATCAGAAATATATATATTCAGAAATCAATATGTCTTTATTCAAATTGGATGTTTAGTACAACTCTTTTGAATCGTCCAAATTTTTTTCCCCTACCACTCGTTATGGACATATTTTTTAGCTGCGGAGAAAAACGAGCGAAAAAAACTCCACAACATTAAAAGTCTAATGTAACAACATTTACAAATCATTGTTGTTACAACGTCAATACAATTATGATTTATTTAATATAGAAAACCTGTTGGAATGATTGGAACAGTTCAAACTCGAGCATTTTTGTCTGTAATATAATCAGACACTTTGTAATAAGCTATTTTAATAAGTGCTTTTTTTATACTATCTTTAAATTTATTTATGGTTAACTCTTGGATATTGCTTGGGACTTTATTGTATAAGCGAACACAATGACCCGACATGGATATTCAACAGAATGATGAATATCCATGGACTAATGTTTATAGAATTAGTAAATAACGTGAAATCATTTTCTAGAACTTGTCAAATACCCTATTGGCAACCATGCGTGTGGAAATGCAATACTGAAGTTCCATTTTGCAATAACATGTTTGGATTTATGTTGATTCGCGGTGATAGAATATTCGACCGCAAAAGCTTAAATGGCGTTTTGCTGAATTCCTTCACGTGCTTTTATAGGTTATTGTTTGTTCGTTGAATAACATACGAGCAGACGGCTCACCTGATGGTAAGTGATCACCGTCGCCCATGGACACTTGCAACACCAGGAGTATCACAAATGCGATGCCGGCCTTTAAGTATTGGTCCGGAAACACTGCTGGCGACAATATATTCCACAGTTTTGTCGTACGTGGAAAAAAATTTCGGCGAAAACGCACGGCTGTGGATAGCCACGCATCAAGATGATGGGGATGAAATTTTTGTCGCGATGTACGATAGCGAAATGCAGCAGCTGGAATTAATCCGAATAATTCCTCAGAACACTCCCCGTGATAAATGCGATAGAAGATGCAGAGCGAAGCTACATCCCTACGCAAAGCCAAAGGATCAAGCTGATCGGAAAGGTCCTGGTCGTCGACGATTCGAGCCGCTCGACTTTAGAGACTTACAGAATTTTTTCGACAATTTCTATTAGTTTCAATTAGTTTAACAGTCCATCGCTAACAACTCCGTAACTGAAAGCTGAATGTCGCCAATTGCAGACACAAGCAACATTAATATTTTTTTTAACGAGCCAAGCCACTAATTTTGATAAAGGTGTACTTTATGAAGTTATAACGTGGTCGTTAGCCCGAATAGAAGTGCCAATGGAATTCGGGTAAACGACTAAGTGTAAATGAACGGAGTCGAGTACGACTGTGTTCGGGTAGATTTCCTTTTGCTTTTTTTTTATTTGGTTTGCAAAACCGAAATGTGAAAATGACAAAATAATTACATACAGTGTATCTTGACAGTATCACAAATCTTATAAATGCAAACACAGCATGCACTTTATAAATATGTTAGAATCCTTTTTAAATTTTGTGTACACAATACTACCCTTAACACCTGCATTTGTAACAATGTTCTCTTAGGAAAAGTTTACTAGAAAAAAATCCACGCGGACCAGGCAGCGGACGGGAGTCGAACCCGCATCCTTCGCTATCCGGGCGAATGCACTGACCATTATGCTACCACGGCCCTATTAGCCGCGTCGAAATTTTCCTAGCCGTTAAGCTGCAAGGCAGCGCCATCTCTTCGCATTGTAGGTAACCCACAATGTCAAATGAATACTTTTTCAAGTATTAAACATTTTAAAGGAAGAAATAGCAATTATAGTTATGATTTTATTTATTTTTAAGCATTTAACTGCTAGATGTTTAAATCTAAAGAAAAGTTTACTAGAAAAAAATCCACGCGGACCAGGCAGCGGACGGGACTCGAACCCGCACCCTTCGCAATCCGGGCGAATGCACTGACCATTATGCTACCACGGCCCTATTCGCCGCGTCGAAATTTTCCTAGCCGTTAAGCTGCAAGGCAGCGCCATCTCTTCGCATTGTAGGTAACCCACAATGTCAAATGAATACTTTTTCAAGTATTAAACATTTTAAAGAAGAAATAGCAATTATTTATTTTTAAGCATTTAACTGCTAAATGATCAAATCTAAAGAAATGTTCTCTTAGTTTTTCTTTTCTTTACAGCAGTATTATAGAGTCGCCAAAAATGTCAACACTTTGTTTAACTGCATTATAAGCAGACAACATCCGATAGATTGGCGAATGCTGACCAAGTTTTATCCGGCATGAAGGAAATTGGAAAGTTTTTCTACTTTGCAAGCGGCTGTTTTGTCGAGGCACGAATAATTTGCTGTGTTGTAAAACAAAAGCTGAAACAGTCCGCATTATTTTACACAGAAATATTATGTCAACAAATCTTCTTCCGTCTCTTAAAGATTGCTTTTTGTAATGACAAAGTCGCTGTTCGTAAGATCTTAGCAAAGACATTTATGATCGGAATAAGCAAGGTTGTAAAGAAAGCGTTTCTGTATACGTTCAACGTTGTTTACCCGACACCGTCTTCCAGCCCGTATTTCAGTGTAAATATTGCTTCGGGTGCCCGAATTCGAGCAATGGTCTTTCGTGCACGCACGTGCGTGAAATACGGGCTTACGCTTAAATGTAATTACGGTGTTAGGCATTATAGAATTAGGAGCTTGGCTCTACATTAGATCCGATTACTTTTTGACAGTGCGAAATCATATGGTCTCGTCTTGGCAACATTTTACATGAAAATGTTTTTGTTGGGACACTTTTGTCTTCGACCCGTTTGGCGTCTATACAATTAATTTTAGGAGGGCTTAAGGGGTAGCTGGGTGATCTGAACTCAGGCCGCGGCTCGACTGATGAAATTCGCGCATTGTATAAATGAAGCGTTAGTCTCCGAATTTCTTTTGCGCGATGTAGGCTCCCATACTTTTTGTTGTGGCGCCGGTAGCGCCATCTGTTGTTATGGATGGTCAAGTCTTACTTTCCTTAATATGTGGGGCGTGTAGATGATGCTGTCAAAAAAGACATTAATAAACTATCCTATTCCAGGTCCCCCAGGAGTGGCCTTCGAAGATGGCTACCTCCAGATCCTGCCGGTCGACAAGGCCAAGTGTCCGTTCGTGAAAGACTCAAACGATATCACCTTCAGACTGTACACGAGGTAATGGATCAATAAATTAATTTCCCGTCTCTGAGTTAGTTAACTTTTTACTTCCTTCGACGGGTGTTTCAATTCGGGCGTAAAATCCGCTACGCTTTCAACCTAGTATAAAAGCTGCCAGCTATCTTCGCGACTGGATGCCACTTACATTTAGTGTAAGAAAGAATCATCATCATCATCATCAGCCTATTAATGTCCCCACTGCTGGGGCACAGGCCTTCCCTATGGATGGAATAGGGAGATTGGGCCATGACCCACCACGCGGGCCCAGTGCGGATTGGTGGGTGCTATCGACTGCAGATGCAGCGGGGACCAACGGCTTAACGTGCCTTCCGAAGCACGGAGGAGCTCGAGCTAGTAAATTTTTGGTCACCCATCCAATGACCGACCACTGCGAAAGTTGCTTAATTTTTTTTTTTTTAATAATAATAATAACTTTCAACGATCGCAGTCGAACGCGCTAACCACTTGCGCCATCGAGCTCCTCGAAAAGAATAAATTTCTCCAACGCCCTGTTTCCAGGCACAATCCCATAATGTTCCAAGAGCTGAAGATTGACGATGACGAGAGCCTATTCGCGTCGCACATCAACTTCCATGACCCGACCGTCATCTACTTCTCTGCGTTTCTAGAACAACCTGATGACGGCAGTGGACTGCAAGTCAGAGAAGGTGAGAGAAACTTGTCAAAATCTTAGGTTATGTTACATTCACAGGAAATGTATTCTATTATAGGTGGAATTCAGTGTGACCAGATTCAGTATCTTAATACTTTTTCAGTATATTTCATCGATTTTTCCGAACATCAGTATATTTTCAGGTATATTGCTGGCAGTCAGTATTTTTGGGTATATTTTGGTAGAAGTTATGGCAACAGCGTAGTGAGTGATTGTCTTTGCGACAATGTTTGCGGAATTCCCCGGAACGTGAACATTGGGCACTTCCCCGGATTTAGTTTACCTATACTTATACATGTTATCTATGACTAAGTTACAGATATGACAAGAAAGACGGCCGTTGTCGGCGTTGTAGTATTGTAATACTACATGTACAATTATCAATTAATACATAGTATTAATCAGACTTGCAGAATGTATGTTCGCCTAAAACTTTACAATTGCTGGACCGATTTTAATGCGGTTTGCACTATTAGATAGAGCGTGAAGAAATGAAGGAGGTTGTGTAAATTTTAATCCTTCGAAAAGGATGTTAAAATATAACTCTAACATTTATTGTGAGTATGAATAAATAAAACGTTATAATTTTTATTATTTTTAAAGCATGTAACTGCTTGATGTTTAAATCTAAAGAAAATATAACTAGAAAAAATTCCACGCGGACCAGGCAGCAGTATTCATTTGACATTGTGGGTTTACCTATAATGCGAAGAGATGGCGCTGCCCTGCAGCTTAAGAATAGCTAGAGAGAATTTCGACGCGGTCCGTGAGGGCCGCGGTAGCATAATTGGTCAGTGCATTCGCCCGGATTGCGAAGGGTGCGGGTTCGAGTCCCGTCTGCTGCCTGGTCCGCGTGGAATTTTTTCTAGTTATATTTTCTTTAGATTTAAATAAAACGTGTTAAGAAAATCATTATTTTTATTGGTATATCTGTCCTATGTAAGTCGGTATATTTCAGTATTTTTTTGAGGTGCCTCGGTATTTTCGTAAAATTTAATCTGGTCACACTGGTGGAATTACCTAGAGCGTGCGACGTATCATACGTGAAGTGGAAATCTAATCTATTCAAGGTAGGAACACCTTCATTTTCTTTCAAACAATCAAATATAGTTATTTTTGGTAACGAGACATATTTAATATACCTTTTAAGTACCAGTGAATATAGTTTCATTGAGAACTGCATAGAACCAAGATTCTCAAACACCTAATAGGTTTTTAGCGCCACAAGAAGAATCATTATGCACTGGTTATTATCGAAATGTTTTTATAGTTTGGAGGAATATTTTAATGATCATTGACAATAAAATTGCAATTTATGTATAGTTTTGACATAACTGGTTAATTTATGATTGTATGAATATAGTTTAGAGAGTAAATTTATTATTATTGAAGTTATACTTCTTTAGGCGCGTTATGAAAAAATGATGAGAGTGAAAGTTTTAGATGCGCGCGCATCACTGTAACCCAAAAGTAACAGCATGAAGTTGGCCGCGGGCGCGTTATGAAAAAATCATGTGAGTGAAATTTCGAGATGCGCGCGCATCACTGTAACACAATAGTAACACCATGAAGTTGGCCGCGGGCGCGTTATGAAAGTTCTAGTTCTCGTTAGTAAATTATCTGTTCGAAAGGAACTTTGAACGATCCACGGAGCTCCATAAGATGATCGCGTTGTCAAAAACAATGTTGGCACGCTCGTCGCCTCTGATCACTGTTTTCATATTTATAATATTTATCCACATGTTTCTAGTTTCTATATAGACACAACGTGTTTTAGTTACTTACAAGTGCTAATTACATATGGACTAATAACTTAAATTCAGTAGTGATTTTAATTGAATATTTTGAATATTTATTTAATTTTTCAAATTAAAACTGAACTTAATTGACTGTGTTAACTATCCTTTTCCAGTCCTTTTATTATTTTATTGTAATTATTAATTAATTGAATGCAATTAAAAAATATTTTTAATGATGCTAAAGAAGTATAACTTCTCACGCGCGTACATAAGTTACACGCATCCATTTTTTTATGTAGCTGACATTTAATTACTAAGTATTATTTTAATGTAATTGTACGCCCGAAATGGGCAAGCTGTTGGCACTACCAAATTTTAAGAACCACTTGTACACAGTTCTGGACAATAAATGATTATCTTATCTTATCATTCGCACAGTAGTCTGATACCTTGGATCTAGCAATAAATATCCTTCTATTTTGAGAAGGACTTGAATTCTAAAACTTGTTATGGGTTATGGTGAGAGCTCGTTCGCGTTGCACATTAACTGCCACGACCAGACCATCATCTATTTCTCAGCGTTCCTAGAACAGCCGGACGACGACAGTGGACTGCAAGTGAAAGAATATGAGGGGAACTTGGACACTAAACAGGTATTTTAGATTATAGCACAACATCAAATACGTGCAGAAGAAATTAAATCTCTTACAGCTCCGATCAACATGACGACGGCAGCGGACTGCAAGTGAGAGAAGGTGAGAGGAACTTGCGACAGATATCTAATATTGCAGCGCAACGTTAAATACGTGCAGAAGAAATTAGATCTCTTACAGCATCACTCAAAATGACGACAGCAGCGGACTGCAAGTGAGAAAAGGTGAGAGGAACTTGGATAGATATCTTGGTTACAGCACGTTTCAATACGTTCAGAAGAAACCAAATATCTTAAAGCTTCGATCAACATGACGCCGACAGCAAGTAAGAGAAGGTGAGAGAAACTTGTATATATATCTTAGGCCGTATACAGAAAGAAAGCCGAAAGCCGATCGGCGCTTATCGGCGCCTGTCGGCGCCGATCCTTCCTACATAAAGGAAGCCGATTAAAGCAGATCAAGCAAAATGTCGGACTCATCGGACGATGATTTGGTTTTGTTAGAAAATGTTTATTTAAAAATGCGAAAAACAGCTTTACATCCTATAAATAGAGAAAGGAAACGTTTCGGAGAATACCATCATTTATTTGTAAAAAAATTGAAATTTGATGAACAAAGATTTTATACATATACAAGAATGATTCAAGAAACATTTTATTACATTTTGGATTTAGTGAAAAACCGTTTGATGAAAAATTGGTGCAATTGGCATAAATAACCAATCCTTCCAGAAGAAAGACTTGTTGTCACCATTCGGTAAGTACGAAACAAATAATTTTAGCGCTTAGTTAATAAAAGATAAAGTTATTAGATTTATAAAAAGATTATAACTTAGATTGATTTAATCTAAGGATAATAATTCAATTACAAATTATTTATTATTCGGACCAGCGCGTGTCGGCGCTTATTGGCGCCGGTCCATAGAAAAAGGATCAGCGCCAATAGGCGCCGATCGGCTTTCGGCTTTCTTTCTGTATACGGCCTTAGGTAGCACGACATATGATACGTGCAGAGGAAATCAAACCCAGAAATTCAATGTTTTAAGCATGAGGACCAGACTCGTATTCAACTGCTCCAGCCTAAAGATAAGAACAATACTCCATTTAGGGTTATTATTCAGGTTTATATGAAAGCAAATACTTGCCCCGAGGTGAAGTATGGTCTAAATCTATTGAAAACGCCATACTTCCTGGACACCAAATCAATCGAACATTGAACTCTAAGTCCTCTTAGTAAAGGTATAGATTCCACAATAGTAGAACTGAGAACAACGAGGCAACTGCGGTGCTACATCCAGCAATTTACTACACTCCACTTTATGATAAGAATGATCTCCCACGCAAATGATGCCAGATGGAAAGGTTCCGATGCAAACGGGGAAATGCTTTACGCATCCTTCAACCACCGGGGGAGCGAGAAGAAGGTATGTGGGACTCCTCCCTGCTCATTTCAGCCAGCCCTTAGGCCGGGTGAAATGAGCAGGGCCCTACCTAACGCCCTGAACAGGGCCACTAAAAACCAGACAATACTCCCACACCGGAGCCACGACCACACCCGCACTCCCGGGAGTGCGGGTGTGGTCGCGGCAACCGTTGCCGACTGTCCGCGCACCCGCAAGGTGATTGTCCGCGAACGGACCCACCCCGATGAAGGTGCCCCGGAGTATAAGGGGCACCAGCATCAAGAGAGCTTGTGCAATGAGGGCCGGTCCCTTCCCAGGGCAGACCCGCGGCTCTCTCAGGAGTGGGAGGGAGAGCGTAGTTCTCTCCGTCCCTCTCCCGCCCCCCTTGGCCCTAAGAAGGTCCTTTTGAGCATCTACCGCCAATTGCAAATGATCAGACTCACTGTGGGGTGATGCTCCTACCCTGGTCCTGAAAAGGACCGTTGAACGGATGCAAGAGGGCTTATCCAGTTTGAGAAGAAAATGCAATGCAATACAGCAAGGCTAAATCTTTACCCAAACTGAAAAAGTTACCGATCAACACCATATATGTTTTAAACTACTGTCCTTTCTTTCGTCCAGCATGGTAAACTCAATGATATTTTAACAGCATCTTTAAAGAATACTTTCTTTGCCAGCCTACATGTTACGCGGCGACACCAACTTCATAATCCTGGACTTGAGCCGCTTGGAAGCCGGCCCCTGGTACTTCACGGCGGCTGAGAACACTTGGTATATTGGCAACTTCGCTGCAAAGTTCATAGACTACTTGGTCTCAAGGTCAGTGACACGATATAACTGATGTTATTTTTTCGCACTTCACCGTTTTCACTATCTGATGTCAAACGCTTAAATTACCCCGACGAAAACTAAAAAAAAACTTTTTTTATTGAAGTTATACTTCTTTAGGCGCGTTATGAAAAAATGATGAGAGTGAAATTTTAAGATGCGCGCGCATCACTAAATCGCTTTAGCGACCAACTTCATGCTGTTACTTTTGTGTTTACCGCACATTAAGAAAATCTACCAACAAAATAGAAATAGAATCTCTATTTAGTGGGTGCTAACGACTGCATTATGAAGGCCTATCAAAAGTATTTATTAATCTGGAACAACGGAACCAAAGCGCGATTCAGGAGACTACAGCGCCATCTCTTGACCATTGGTGTAGTAGAACCATAAACCACATCTTTATTTTTTGTAATAAAGTAACAAAAAGTATTTATTAACCTGGAACAACGGAACCAAAGCGCGATTCAGGAGACTACAGCGCCATCTCTTGACCATTGGTGTAGTAGAACCAAAAACCACATCTTTATTTTTTGTAATAAAGTAACAGTTATAGGTATTCATATTTATAATATTTATCCACATGTTTCTAGTTTGTATATTCGGAATACGTGTTTGAGTTTCATACAAGTGCAAATCACATATGTTCTAATAAGTTATATTCAGTAGCGATTTTAATTGAATATTTTGATTATTTATTTATTTTTTCAAATTAAAACTGAACTTTATTGACTGTGTCCTTTTCCAGACTTTTTATTCATTTATTGTAATTAATTATTTGCATGCAATTAAAAACTAATTTTAAACGATGCCAAAGAAGGATAACTTCTCACGCGCCTACATAAGTACACGCACCCATTTTTTATCTTTAGTCAAATTAATATTTGGAGTCGGTTTGCGGCTATATTTTTGTAATATACAACTCGGCATCAAAATCTGTGAGTGAACAATCACTCCTATTTTACCCCCCTTAGGGAAGTATTTTTTTCAAAAAAAAATCGCCGATCAGTACGGCGCCTGCGCCCTTCGAGACAAGACTTATGTCATTTTTTACCGCACGCATCCCGAGCCATTCTCCGAGTGTATTTACCGTAAACCTGAACTGAATGAAATAATGAATTGAATTACTTTATATGGTTCTTACTAGTTAAACACTAGTATATGGGTAAGATCGTTTTGAAATACTTGACAAATAGGTACCCTAATTTTGTGTTGCAGGGGATTGGATTTGAAAAAGACACATCTAATAGGACACAGTTTGGGGGCACAGTCCGCGGGGGTCGCCGGATCTGCACTAAAATCAGGTAACAATTGTAATATTAATTTTACTGGAAAAAATCTAGGTTTAGGCTAAATTAGTGAAAATCGCGCAGCTGTGTACTGTTGTCGCTTAATTATCCTAGCCCGTAATAAACTCGACTGCCGGCATCATGCAAACCAAACTTTCTGAGAAAGTCTTTCTTTTGTTTACAAATTCTGATTGCACGTGTAGACTGTTGTCGACCATGACTAAAAAAATATAGTACAACAAATTTACTGATGCAGCAAAAGACGTCATACAAAAATAACAGAATATACGCAATCGGGTTCAAATAAGATTATTTTTTATGTACATAACTACTAGCATGAAATAAACTTTTTCTTTACATAATTTAGAATTTTCTTCTTTCCATTTAACGACAACTCTCTATAACGCCATAAAATGTACAGTCCCTTTAGTGTCATTATATAGAGTTTACACTATATATATATATATATATACAGGGTGTGGCAAAAGTCCGAAATAAAACTTTAGGGTTTGGTTGTGTTCCTTGTATAAAATTACCTACGAAAGTTTGACGCCTTTCAGACCACTTTTATTTTCTAATCAAATTAATAAAAATATCGTTTTACACCTGCCTATGACAACCCTATAAATGCGTACGATTACTACTACCTAAACAGACCCCCTCTCTCCCCCAGGCGCCCCTGCGCCCCGCTCAGATACCTACAAATTTTATTTCGGAATTCTGTAACACCCTGTATATATACATATATAATATGTGTGTATGTTTATGTTTGGTTATATGAGTATTTATATAGTGTATTTAAGTATTATTATTTTGTTGCTGTTATTATTCATTTTCATTTTATTTAATTTTTATTCAACTTTGCCCTATCGCCATACATTGGACTCCAACACTCATACTGGTTGACTGGTAGAGAATACCTATGGCATTAAGGTCCGCCGTTTGTTTATGTTTGGCAATAAAGTTTGAATAAAATAAAATATACAGCCTGTTAAATCCTACCTTTTTCATTCACATCCATTCCAGAAAGAGAAATGCAAATACTGTCAATGAAATATAGGTAGGTATACTTTATTATAGGTTTTGTTATTTTAAGCATTAAATTGATGATTTCTACTTATATTTTTTATTTTTTATGCATGTTAAAAAATAAAACTGCTCCATGTTTAAATGTAAAGAAAATATTACTAGATAAAATTCCACGCGGACCATCATTTGACATTGCGGGTTACCGACAATGCGAAGAGATGGCGCTGCCTTGCAGCTTAAGAAAGGCTAGAGAGAATTCGACAAGGCCGTCAGGTCCGCGGTAGCATAATTGGTCAGTGTATTCGCCCGGATCGCTCGCTAAGGGTGCGGGTTCGAGTCCCGTCTGCTGCTTGGTCCGCGTGGAATTTTTTCTAGTAATATTTGTTATTTGCGGAAGGTCGTGTATCCCGTATCACTGGACTGGACCCCGCGTTCCCGCTGTTCGACAAGCTGCCCTTGAGTCAAAGACTAGACCCGTCTGATGCGGAATTCGTTGATGTCATACACACAGACGCTGGGATATTCGGTGAGTGCTGAGAGTAAGGTTACCAGATGATAAAATCAAAAGTCCGGAGAAAAGGCTTGATTTCCATTGAAAAATCCTGAGATTTTTTACAGTTTGAGAATTTCCTCGCAAAAGTACTTAACAATTTAAAAAAGCCGTAATATTATCTCGTCGTTTATACTCTGCTTACACTTTTAAATCAATATAATTAGAAGAGCTTGACATGTGGGGCATTATATGAATCTATAATTAAAGAAAAAACCTTACTTAAAAATGTATCTTCACATATTAAGTATGATAAAACTGATTAAGTACTTACTTGGATAATAAAGTACTGATTTTAATTGTGCAATTATTACCAATAGAAGATTATTTTTAGTTTAACTTTTTATAGTAAGTTGTATTTTATTGGAAATTCAAAAAATCCTGAGATTTTATGAGATTTGCAAAATCCAGCCGCAATCCTGAGAAGAGTCCAAAAATCCTGAGATATGGTAACCCTAGCTGAGAGGAGCATATACACATAAGCCACCCGTCACACCCTTACGTGGAATGTCAATTTTAGTTTATTTAAAGGACATGGCTAAGAAACTGCCCTTAACGTGTATAATTATTTTGCACTAGCCCGTAACTTCATAATATCTTTTTATTAATTATTACGTGTTTATAATTCTTATACAACTTTCGTAAAATAATCAAGAACATAAAAGTGTAAAAATTGACTTCATGTCAGATTCAAAAGGAAAATGTTCCGTTTTACAAAAATAAATGAACTATAAATGTGTACATAAAAATATTTGTCAGTATATCGAAATAAACAATATTTATTCAAAACTCCCAAGAACTATGACATATTTGGCACTTATTTTTATTATAACAAATCACTGAATGCCTAAAATAATTGATTTTATTTTTCCGATCAGGCTTGAGAGAAGGCTGTATGATAATTAATGCTTTGATTTTTGCAAATAAAGAAAATAAAACTTCACAGATTTCATGTCAGACCGACGACAACCAATTATTTGTATTTATTTTTACTTTTAAAAATATTTTTTGTGAAGTGTTAGTCAGATATATGGGAGGAAATATTCTAAGAAAATGCGAAATTGAAGGCTCTGTAAATAATGTGCAAAATCTTTTATCAAATGTAGCAAGGTAATAACGTCGTAGGAGATCTCATAATTTTCAAGATTGTGACTTTATCAAAAGTTCCTGAGCCTTATTTCATAGAAATTATAAATATTCAGGCATTGTGCATTATATATTACTAAGTACAATATTTATCATTGCTAGGGCAGTCGCACATACAAATTTTTACCATGTCCTTTATTTAGAATGCTACCTCGGTGAAAAAAAAAATTTAACTGTAAACGTCTTTGGTTTTTTTTGTACTTACTCATTTTGCTTAGATTTTTTTTAATTTTTTTTATTGAAAGTTTCTTTGGGCGCTTGGCGCATTAATGAGATGAGTTTTTTGTTTTTCTTTTCCCGGAGTGCCACCACCATGTTTTTTATCGATGACAGTTTTTACGTGTACATTCGGCGTTTTATTATCATCAGTCTATTAATAAATAAATAAATAAATATTTCCAACACTCATACCAATTAGCCTACCCCCAAAGTAAGCACTATAAGGCTTGTGATATGGGATACTAGGGTAACGGATAGAATACATATACTTTACATATATGAGTATATTCATATAAAATTAATATTTAACATCCATGACTGGAGTACAAATGCTCGTGTTCATCACACAAACATCTGCCCCCACCGGGATTTGAACCCGGGACCTCTCGAGTCGGCGACGCTATGAAACCCAGCGTACAAACTACTCGGCCACGAAGGTCGTCGCCACACTGCTAATATCCACACTGCTGGAGTTGGACCTAGAGTGGGTTGCTAGTGACTGCAGATGTAGACGGGGACTGGGCCCTATTTCACCAACTCGACATATGTCAGTGACAAATGTAAGCCTATGCAACGGCCGACATATGTCACTGACATATCTAAGCCGACGCGACGGTTTGTTGTAGTCTGATGTATTTACTGCACCGATTTCATCTATTAAATATTTGACACTAATATTGCTTATGCGGAAAATTTTCTTCGAACGCAAAGTCAGTGGTATCAATGGAGGAGTTTATTCGTACTTTATAAATTCTCCTGAATATAAAAACTCATCTTTATCATTATCATCTCACTACAATTATTATAATGCAAATGTGACACATATCAAGAATTCTCTTTTATTTGACAAATATGTCGACCTAAAAAATTGCCATTTTTTCTGCAAAATGATTTTGGTTGTCCATCAAGAACTGTTTATTAATAAATAAAATTTTTAAATTATATACTATCTTTTATATTTTTAAGAATAGAATTTGTATCAGCTGGTTTTAAAATTATAAATAATTAGGTTTTTCGTTTTATTTCTATTTAAAAATAGATTCACAGTGTAGTTTATATAGTAAATATTGTGTGGAATTGTTTTCTCAAGAATTGGACAGTAAACATTTAAAATACTGCAACACAAATATTGTAACGACTACCTACTTGTCAAAATCAAGAAGAAAAAGTTGTAAAATTCAAGAATAATTACGAAAAAGGACAATAGTGTGACATGCTGCATCATAAACCGGGGGAGTACATCTTATTTTATCAGTATTTTCTATAAGAAAGAGTGTCATTGTCGATTAATGAAAGTGTATAATTTAGTTTTTCAATTCGGAAAACCTCAACAAATTACTGCACATAACTCACTTAATCAGTGAGTAACGTCACAATTCAAAACGAATAGCACAGTAAACCTCTCTTTGCTTGACATAATAGTGGAAGCAAAATTTGATGGTGACTTTTTGCTCCAGTCATACACCATACTCTTACTCTTCACAAGCTATACACTAACAACAGTACATTTGAAAATAACTGTCTGAACCCTATTGCTGTGTAATTTGTTCTTATATCATAGTACTTGCTGTTATTAATATCTTTTGACACTTCTGATACAGTATTGTTCTCAATATTTATTATGACAACGTATTACAACAGCAAAGTTTGAACAAATCATACTTACTTTTTATTATACTTTGCTGCTAAGTTAAGTTACTATTTAAGATTTGGGAAATTAAATCCTACATAGTTATTAGGTGTAAAAGTATTAAAACTTGATATTGGTCTTAAAAATATTATATGATATTAAGTTGATCAATTTGAATTAATCATTTTTAAAGTAGTAAAAGTAAAATTTAATACATATTTTATGTATTATTTTCTACCCTCTTTTTAATATCTCTATCTATTTTTGTTTTCATAATCATTTAAACTCATTAATTACTCTATTTGCTTTAAATATTACTATAAAAAGAAACTTATATTCTTTTATTAATTTCAGCTTATTGAATTTTTATACACAAATAACAATGATGACCCGCAAAGCTGCAGTTCAAAGTACAGAGCTTAAATTGAAACAAGCCCTGGAAGAACTCAAAGTAACAAAGGAAACTTGTCGCCAGCTACTTCGTGAACGTGATGAGGGTGAAGAGGAAATTGAGAAAAATATTCAAAGGAACACCCAGCTCAAGAGCGAACTATCCCAACTTCACTCGGAACACATGGAAGTGATTCTTCAACGAGACCATCTTAACGACACTGTCAACAGCTTTGACCAGCAGTTCAACACATATGAGAGGGCTCTTCAACGTATCACAGACCTAGAAAAAGAACTTATTGATGCAAATAACCAACTAGCACATTATAAAGAAATTCAACAACTCCAGGAAACAGCACATACACAGAGCCTTTTTGAGGAATTAATGGCATCTCCCGGAGCGCCCTTGACACAATATCAACAGCCTATTGTTTATGAGAACACTGCTGTACAAAACTGTGTAACTGGCAAGAAAAAACTAAAAAAGTATATTCGCATTAGTAAATTTATAAAAAGAACAGGAAAGTTAATTAAAAGAAATAATTGTTTTCATAAAAATATAGCATTAAGGAAGGAAAGAATGGACCTTATTGATTCTATAGATATATATAGTTCAAAGTTGACTGAGAGTAGGCAGGTGTACGACAGTGATACAAAGAAATTACATTTAGAGATTCAATATTTACATGAGTCACTAGAAACATTATCTAACAAATATTCAAATGCACAAAAACAAATAAGTGAGCATATAAAATCAGCTTCAGAATTAGTTGAACTATGCAACTACAATGCAGAACGTTATGAGTCTTTAGTAAAAAATCAATTAAGTAGTTCTTTAAATCAATCTTCCTTGCAATCAACATCATCTGAAATTATAGAGGTTGTTAATAATAATAATAATTCTCAAACAGTTAAAAATTTTGGTGGTTCATCTGTCTGTTCTGGGTCAACTTGCAAAACATATAACAACTCCCCTGTGAGGTCAATCTGCACTACATATAGTACCTCTCCTTTCAAACCAGTGCTATCTGAGAACACAACTAGAAGTAAAACAATTATGTTCTCGGATAAGTTAGGATGCGGCTTTGGATTAATGTTAAGGAATTATTGTAATGAAAGAATTACTAATATATGTATGCCAGGTAAATCAATAAATGACATTATAAGTGAACTGAATCAGTATGATGCGGACAGTTTGACAAACATAGTTATTATGTGTGGTGACAGCTCTAAAATAAGAGCAAGAGATATGTATAGAAATATAGAGGTGCTACTTAACTATCAGTCTAGGTGCAAGTGTAAAATAATAATAAGCGCTTTCCCATATGCAGAAAATTTAACTAGGGAACAAAACAAGCGCATCTTTAATTTGAATTTAATAATTTATAATTTATTAAATAGTCATAGTGACAATTTTTTATATTTTGATATAAATAAATATATTAGTAAATTTAAGTTGACCACAGATACTATGTATCTTGCAAAAAAATATAAGACTCAGATAGCTACTTTGTTAGCTTTTAATATACAAAACTCAGTTATACATGGTATAACAAAGTCTATGCAACTGGATTGTTTTAGTGTCAGCACTAATAAAATTATTAATTTAGAAAATAGGGTGACCAACTCAAATTTAAACTGAGGGGTACGACAACAGCCAAATCCAACAAAATTAATATTATTTATCAGAATATTCAAGGGTTGGCTGGCAAAGATTTAGAATTAGAACTATTTGCAAAGAGCCAGGATATTCATGTTATCTGTTTATCTGAACACTGGCTTAAGTCTTCTGAGGTGTCTTTTAGCATAAACAATTTTCAAATGATAAGTGCATATGTTCGTACTGCAGCTATACACGGTGGCACATTAATTTTTGTAAATAAAAATATAAAAACTAGGGATAGGAAGGACATAGTTGGCCTCTCAGTAGAACGTATTATTGAGCTATCCTGTGTTGAATTCAGTGAATTTATTATAGTATGTGTATACAGACCCCCTCTAGGCAACATTAGTGTTTTTGAATCAGTGATGGAGAATGTTCTAAAAAAGTTAAAGTCTAAAAATAAGTTTTTGATTGTAGTTGGTGACTTCAATATTAACATTCTTGAAAATAATTCAATGTCAATTCGCCTAACATCACTATTCAAATGTTTTAATTTGGTACATCAATTTTTTGAGCCTACTAGAGTAACATCTCATTCAGCTACTTGTTTGGATAATATATTTACTGATTATAATCCAGTTAGTAAATCAATTATTAATTGTATCACATCAGATCATTACGGCTTAAAAATAACATATAATACAAATGACACTACTAAGCCCAAATTCATTGAATTAAGACCAGTAACAAATAAACGTTTAGAAAATTTTCAAAACAATATTGATGATAAAATGTTTCTAATGCCATGGACACATGAGGATCCTAATATTCTTTACGGCAATATGTTCACTTTGGTTAAGAAAGAATTCGATAAGGCTTTTCCGCTTAAAACTTTGAAATTAACTCAAAAGTTGAACTTCTGTGACTGGGCTACGTCTGGTATTTATAAGAGCAGAAATAAACTTTATGATTTGTACTACTTAAGGAAGTACAATCACTCTCAGGGTTTCATTGATTATGTTAAAAGGTACTCAAAAACATTCAAAAGTGTATGTGCAACAGCCAAATCCAATTACATAAAAAATAAAATCATAAAATCTAATAATAAAATTAAAACGACATGGAATGTTATTAATAGAGAAACTGGTAAAGAAAGAACCCTCGATGATGGGATCGCACTTAAAGTAGATAATATTCAAATTAAAACAAAAGAACAGATTGCCAATACTTTTAATGAATATTTTGTTAATATACCATTAATCACTACTTCTAATTTGAATTCGACGCCAGCGGGTGCTAAGAGTTTGCTAGAGACGTGTGTGCCTCGGTGTAATAACCTGTTTACGTTTAAACATGTTGATTTTATGGATATTATAAAATGCTTTAACTCACTTAAAAAGAAAAATACGTGTGATTTGTTTGGAATGTCTATTAAAATTACTAAAAGTATAATAACAGTTATCGCTCCTTATCTTGCAGATATATTCAATAAGTGTATTGATCAAGGTGATTTTCCAGACCTTATGAAATATAGTAAAGTTATCCCTCTCTTCAAAAACGGCATAAGAGATGATCCCGGTAATTACAGACCTATATCAATATTACCGGTATTAAGTAAAATTTTCGAAAAAATTTATTTTAGATCAATTATTATCGCATGTCAGTTTGAACAAACTGTTACATAATAATCAATTTGGCTTTACTAGGGGTAGATCAACAACGGATGCGGGTGTTGCACTTATAAGACATATAATGGAAGCCTGGGAGAAGTCGCAGAATGTTCTTGGGGTATTCTGTGACTTATCCAAGGCGTTTGACTGCGTTGAGCACCAGACGCTGATGTTAAAATTAAATCACTATGGAATCAAAGGCGCAGCCCAAAACTTGCTACTATCGTATCTCAGTTCCAGAGTTCAAACTGTAGAGGTAAATGGTGTTAAGTCATCTGGATCTTATGTAAAAATGGGCGTTCCCCAGGGATCGATTTTAGGTCCGTTTCTATTTTTATTGTACATAAACGATTTGCCATTTTTTGTGGAAAAATTGTGTGAGATCGTATTGTTTGCTGATGATACTTCTTTATTATTTAAGGTTGACCGATACAAGAATAACTTTGACGATGTAAATAATGCTCTCTCACAAGTATTGCACTGGTTTAATGTAAATAACTTAAAATTAAATGCAAATAAAACCAAATGCATTAAATTCACTTTACCTAATGTTAGAAGCGAAACCATTAGAATTAAACTAAACAATGAAAACCTACATTTAGTTGAGTCAACGATATTCTTAGGTATAACCATAGACTCGAAATTGCAATGGTATCCTCATATTTCTCTGCTAGCTGGTAAACTTAGTTCAGCAGCCTATGCCATACGTAAAATAAGACAACTTACTGATGTAGCTACTGCTAGAACTGTATACTTTAGTTACTTTCATAGTATTGTATCCTATGGTATTATTCTCTGGGGATCAGCAGCCGATATTGAAACTATATTTATCTTGCAAAAAAGAGCTATAAGGGCTATTTATCAACTTAGTTCTAGAACATCTCTTAGAGAAAAATTTAAAGAAATCGGGATTTTGACTGTTGCTTCTCAATTCATTTATAATTGCATACTTTTTGTTCGAAGCAATATTAACTATTATCTAAAACACAGTGACATACATTCTTTTAATACAAGGAATAAAAATAAACTCAAGATACCAAATTACAGGTTACAGAAGGTTCATAAATCATTTATGGGTCAAGGTATACATTTCTATAATAAGATTCCTATTGATATCCTTGATTTGCCTCCTCATAAATTTAAAATACACATTAAGAATTGTTTACTTAAGAAAGGATATTATACTGTCAATCAATATTTGAATGATAAAACGGCCTGGTTGTAATTTTACTTGTAGATAATTTTTCAAAAGTTATATTAAAACTAAGGCTCCCAGTTATAGAAAGAGTTTTGAAGAGAACCTTGCACTTACTCCCTTTCATATACTTGTTCATTTTATTTTGAAAATTGTTTCTTGCTATTTTGGGACTTATCTTTGCAGTTATTGTTAGTAAATTCATTGATTGTTACATATTTGACATTATGTGATGGAAGTTGACCTCAACACATGTTTGCAAGTTTGATGTCAACTTTCAATTGGACGACACTGTATGAAATAAAACAGGGAGAAAAAAGCAGCCCTTGCTGAGTTTCTTGCCGGTTCTTCTCAGTACAAGGTCTCCCGCCGTAGTTTTGCGAACCGATGGCGTAGCTTTTCGACATTCACAAGTGCTTGTAACAGCCTAGACTGAATAAACGATATTGAATTTTGAATTTTGAATTTTATATTTTTTTACAGAGAGGTCCGACAAATGACTCCGCCCCACCTGATGTTAAGTGAAGGTGAAGTCCAGACGTGAAGATAGCTCATACAGCAGTTCTATTTATTATTTATATATTTTTTTCTCTCTTTATTCTATTATATTTAATTTCGGGTTAAATTTACTTGTTTGAGCCTAAAGTACCTGGAAAAAGCGTTCAAAAAGTGTTTCCTCATATTTCGAAGGAATCGAACTACATAATATGTAAAAAAAAACATCTTTACTATATTACAGGTTACAACCGACCCACTGGGCACGTGGATTTCTACCCGAACGGTGGTATCAGTCCTCAACCAGGCTGCGAACTGGAGATAGTGCTTCACGAACAGAGGTTATTGAACAAATGTGAGTTATACTGTTTTATTTTTAATCTAAATGTGTGCATTTTCAAACTTCCCGGTTTCTGACGACACAGCCGTGCACCGAGCCGAGAGAAAAACGTGCCGACCAATGCTAACATTGCGGGCGTCAGAAGGGTGCGGGGCATTATGCGAGCGGTGCGGGGGATAGTCGCGTGATGGACCGCCAATCAGAAGGCGTCCATTTTAAAGGACGCGTGAGGGTTGCGCTTTAAAGTGAGTGCTGTGATTGGTCGACGGGCCCGGGCAACCGGATCCAAATTATTATATTAGTCTGTCAGGAACAATCATCGTGGGAACAACTAGCCAGAAGAATAAAGGAAGTTGTAAAGCAACAACCAGCGTTTTGAATCCGGAAACCTACATCTGCACCAGGGATCCGAGGACTGAAGACTTTCATCAGTTTCGTCCAGGGCTTGAAACCGGTTTCAAATACCGGTAAATAAAGATTAATACCGGTTTTTAGTAAAGGTTTCGTTCGGAGCGCGTCCGAAATGAAAGCGGTACCTAAAACCTTAATAAACCGGTTTAATCCAGAGCGACACGTGCACGCATCGGCATCGCTTGAAGTTTGTTTTGTTTGTACTAATCAAGTCACAACTTGTTAATGCTAAGAGATTGATGCATTTATTGACACGTTTGCTAGCGTCTAGTGAGTCAAGTTATTCATTTTGTAGTTGTGTATTTATTTCAGCCGTCAGTAAGAGCGCAATGAAACCCTTTAAAAACCCCGCTAAATTGTTTCAAACCTATTTGATTTCGCTTTTTAGAAAAACCGTTCTTTTTTAAGGTTAAGGTAGAGCCAAACCTAAATAAAACGCTCTTAATGTACTTGACACTGATTTAGGTTTGAAAATTAACCGGTAAACAAGCCCTGGTTTCGTCACCGACATCTTGGTCCTTCAAGCCGGATCCATTTTCGAAAACCAGCACTTGCTGACCTGGCGAGCTTCTTACCCCGATATTTCCGCTCGTTTTTTATTTAAGATTTGTTTCTAACCTTTTTCTTACAATAACGAACACGAAATAAAAATAATTTTCCAGTTTGGTGCAGTCTTCCAAAGTTATGCTAGTACATACATTTCGTTGATTCGTTTTATTTTTATGGAAAAAGAAGATAGATTAGTTAAGGTGGAGTCGCTTGACAGTTGTTGTATAAAAGAATTCTCCCCGTCTAGTCTTCTGCAGTCACTGGCGCTCATACCAGTTCTACAGCGAGTCAGTGATTCGGCCCAAAGCATTCGTGGCGACATCTTGCGACTCGTGGCGGCACTACAAGAGTGGCCACTGTGCCACGTCCAAAACTACCCACATGGGATACGCGGCGGATAAGACGTGAGCCTAGTGTAGTTCGCATTAAAGCACAATTTGGATTGGCACTAGTTTTTTCAAGGCGTTAGAGCACAGTATGTATTGGCACTGGTTTTTTTCATGAGGCTCCAGAGCACAGTATGTATTGGCACTGGTTTTTTTCATGAGGCTCCAGAGCACAGTATGGATTGGCACTGGTTTTTTTCATGAGGCTCCAGAGCACAGTATGGATTGGCACTGGTTTTTTCACGAGGCGTTAGAGCACAGTATGTATTGGCACTAGTTTTTTTCATGAGGCTCCAGAGCACAGTATAGATTGGCACTAGTTTTTTTCATGAGGCTCCAGAGCACAGTATGTATTGGCACTGGTTTTTTTCATGAGGCTCCAGAGCACAGTATGTATTGGCACTGGTTTTTTTCATGAGGCTCCAGAGCACAGTATGGATTGGCACTGGTTTTTTTCATGAGGCTCCACAGCACAGTATGGATTGGCACTGGTTTTTTCACGAGGCGTTAGAGCACAGTATGTATTGGCACTAGTTTTTTTCATGAGGCTCCAGAGCACAGTATAGATTGGCACTAGTTTTTTTCATGAGGCTCCAGAGCACAGTATGTATTGGCACTGGTTTTTTTCTTGAGGCTCCAGAGCACAGTATGTATTGGCACTGGTTTTTTTCATGAGGCTCCAGAGCACAGTATGTATTGGCACTGGTTTTTTTCTTGAGGCTCCAGAGCACAGTATGTATTGGCACTGGTTTTTTTCATGAGGCTCGAGAGCACAGTATGTATTGGCACTGGTTTTTTTCTTGAGGCTCCAGAGCACAGTATGGATTGGCACTGGTTTTTTCACGAGGCGTTAGAGCACAGTATGTATTGGCACTAGTTTTTTTCATGAGGCTCCAGAGCACAGTATAGATTGGCACTAGTTTTTTTCATGAGGCTCCAGAGCACAGTATGTATTGGCACTGGTTTTTTTCATGAGGCTCCAGAGCACAGTATGTATTGGCACTGGTTTTTTTCATGAGGCTCCAGAGCACAGTATGGATTGGCACTGGTTTTTTTCATGAGGCTCCAGAGCACAGTATGGATTGGCACTGGTTTTTTCACGAGGCGTTAGAGCACAGTATGTATTGGCACTAGTTTTTTTCATGAGGCTCCAGAGCACAGTATAGATTGGCACTAGTTTTTTTCATGAGGCTCCAGAGCACAGTATGTATTGGCACTGGTTTTTTTCATGAGGCTCCAGAGCACAGTATGTATTGGCACTGGTTTTTTTTTCGCGAGGCGTTAGAGTACAGTATGCATTGGCACTGGTTCTTTTCACGAGGCGTTGGAGCACAGTATGAATTGGCACTGGTTATTTCACGAGGCGTTAGAGAACAGTATGGATTGGTACTGGTTTTTTTTCACGAGGCGTTAAGCCCAGTATGGATTGGCACTGGTTTGTTCACAAGGCGTTAGAGCACAGTATGGATTGGCACTGGTTTGTTCACAAGGCGTTAGAGCACAGTATGGATTGGCACTGGTTTGTTCACAAGGCGTTAGAGCACAGTATGGATTGGCACTGGTTTGTTCACAAGGCGTTAGAGCACAGTATGGATTGGCACTGGTTTTTTCACGAGGCGTTAGAGCACAGTATGTATTGGCACTGTTTTTTTTCATGAGGCTCCAGAGCACAGTATGGAGTGGCACTAGTTTTTTTCATGAGGCTCCAGAGCACAGTATAGATTGGCACTAGTTTTTTTCATGAGCCTCCAGAGCACAGTATGTATTGGCACTGTTTTTTTTCTTGAGGCTCCAGAGCACAGTATGGATTGGCACTAGTTTTTTTCATGAGGCTCCAGAGCACAGTATAGATTGGCACTAGTTTTTTTCATGAGGCTCCAGAGCACAGTATGGATTGGCACTGGTTTTTTCATGAGGCTCCAGAGCACAGTATAGATTGGCACTAGTTTTTTTCATGAGGCTCCAGAGCACAGTATGTATTGGCACTGGTTTTTTTCTTGAGGCTCCAGAGCACAGTATGTATTGGCACTGGTTTTTTTCATGAGGCTCCAGAGCACAGTATGTATTGGCACTGGTTTTTTTCTTGAGGCTCCAGAGCACAGTATGTATTGGCACTGGTTTTTTTCATGAGGCTCGAGAGCACAGTATGTATTGGCACTGGTTTTTTTCTTGAGGCTCCAGAGCACAGTATGGATTGGCACTGGTTTTTTTCATGAGGCTCCAGAGCACAGTATGTACTGGCATTGGTTTTTTTCATGAGGCTCCAGAGCACAGTATGGATTAGCACTGGTTTTTTCACGAGGCGTTAGAGCACAGTATGTATTGGCACTGGTTGTTTTCACGAGGCGTTAGAGCACAGTATGGATTGACACTGGTTTTTTCACGAGGCGTTAGAGCACAGTATGGATTGACACTGGTTTTTTCACGAGGCGTTAGAGCACAGTATTGATAAATCATTGGTTTATTCATAATAATAAGAACACACTTAAGTCTTGTAAATATGCTTCAAATTAGCTTGCCACTAGTTTTGTCTATAACACTCCTAAGACTTTTTGTAAAGTTTATATTCTCTTCGAATTAGAATTAGAATTTATTTATTTGCATTACAGTACACTGGAGTAGGGGTACACTGGAGATGTTACAAATATAAAGTTCGGCCCATTCTGCCATTTACAATTAGTCCAGTCATTATAGTAAGTTCACCTCGGAATTCGAGATACCCAGCTGTAAGTCTGTAAATACTTGTATATTGACACCCTTAAAGTTGTCTCAAAACCTACATATGGTAGGGTGTACGCAACTATTAAATTTCAAGGTCAAAGCTCACAAAAATCGGTTTTTTGCGCTTTTTTGTAAATATCTCATTTCCTATGGGTTTTTTGCTATTTGTATTTATTATCAATATTGTAGAAAACAAAATTCTCTACAAATTTTGTTTGAAAAAATTTTTCATACGGTGAACCGTTTTCGAGATAGAGGGCGGAGAGCGCGCGGTCACAGCATCACTTCAGGTCAACCGGTGCCTCCGGTCAAAAACGCGCCATATATAGTTGATGAACTATCGATAAATCAATGATTATAAATATTTGTCAATTTTTATTAACTATTATATTATATTTTATCATTTTTTCCTAACCTATCCACTTTTTATTCAGTATTAATTTATTTAACAACACTTACCTGCCCATGTAATTGCAGAATTGTTAATGAAAATATAGGAATTATATTTGAATTTAAACCTAATTAATATTAATAACTTCTTACATGATAAAAAAAAACAAATAAATTATGAATTTATCTTTTTATTAAAAAATATCATTCAATACATTTATTTTTATTAAAAGTAAAAAAATGGAATAAAGGGTACAAAAACTAGAATTTATAATTTTAATCATCTTCTTCCTCTTCATCGTCGTCTTCCGGCTGCTGGTAAATTTCAAACTGGTCTTCATTATCGTCTTCAACGACATTTGTCTCAAGTTCTTCCATGATTTCGGGGTCAAAAGTTCCATCTTCGTTAATGTCGCTCTGATATGGTAGAGCATTGAGACAAGCTTGCCCATTACATTGGCCACAAGCTAAAGAGCATTGCAAGCCCGCTTTCCTGCATCCGCATCGCGAACCACAACCACTCTTGCAGTTGCAGAAAATTGTATTTAGCAAATGTTC